CCTCGCCGCTGGAGCCGGCCTGGGAAGCCGCCGGCCGGCCTGTGGTGGCCCCGCAGCCGCGAGGGACCCGCAGGCCGTCCTTCCGCACGCGGCCCCGCGGGCTCCCCGCGGGGACCGAGCGTCCAGGGACAGAGCCTGGCTTGGACCCCAACTGGACGGCTCTCTCGCTGTGGGGCAACACGGAGTGTCCTGACCTCTCTGAACCCTACCGGGCAGGGACTGCACACACCCCGCCTCTGAAGGCCGCTGGAAGGGTCCTCCGAGCGCGCTGCCTGGCCCTGCGGTGGAGCTCGTGTGCCCCGAGAGCAGTGTGGCAGGGCCAGAGTTGGCTGCCTGCTGCCTTCACCTCTGCGACGTCGCTCCTGTGGCCTCGTGGTCAACAGCTTTGCGTCGTGTTCTTTCCTGGTCCTAGCGTTCCACTTTGACAGCTGCTTGGCAGCAAAGACAAGGTCCTTTCTCCCTCCTCAGGCATCATCTCCACCTCCCCGCCCGTCTCAGCAGTGGTTTCCAGTGTTGGAGAGCAAAGCGCACACAGTAGAGGGGGAACGCAGCACTACGCCATTTCCTGAGAGATGCTGAAGTGCTTCACTTGATGCAGAGCCCTGGAACCCTCAGTTTAAAGCCTTCTCGTCCGAACTTGGAGAAGCTTGGTCTTAGCAGTAATTTGCTCTGGGGTACACACTCCAAAGATGCCAGGGCCAAGCAGTCAGCAAGTAACAGGCAGAGAGAGGGATGAAAACGCCCAGTTTACCAAACAGCCGGGAGGTACATGCCCTTCCTCCTTTACCTGGTTGAAGCGAGATTTAAAAGCATTTGAAACAATTTGCTGGACAAATAAAACTTGCCTCTGAGCGCAGAGAAGGAGTGGGACTTGCTCAGTGTGATTCAGGCTGTGTTTGAAGTCCAGCCAGGGCGCCCCTCCTTTGGCTCAAGATTAAACCCCGGACTCACGGAAACAGAGGAGCAGTGCTAGGAAATCCCAGGCCAGAGTGTTGCTTTGCCTTTGCTAGGCCCCAAGCAGGATTTGTTTACAGCAAAGTCTGCACACAAACGCGGTACGGCCCGTTATGGGCCTGAGCACAAGCTGCTTCAAGTCACTTGGAGCACTTCCTGCCCTGCAGGAGGAGTCCACTCAGGACTGTGATAAGTGGCACAAGCTCTTAGGTTGTACCAGTCCTTAGAGACACCCCCTTACTTGGAAAACAAAGCTGTGAGATGGGCCTCTTGTGGTACCTCCCCTTCTGCAAAGGGCTTGTGAAAATGTAAAAGGCCGTAACCCCTTTGGAAGACTTGAGCAGACTCCAAAGCTCGGCATACACATACCCAATGACCTATTCCATTCCGTTTGTCCTGGGCCATGCCCATGTCTGGCACAGCTGGGATCTTGACTGTCTCCCAAAGGCCCAAGTGTCACTTGGCTTGCTCAGTTGGTGCTACTGAGTAGTGATGGAACTTTTAGGAGTTAGAGCCAATGGCAGGTCCAGTGGATTATGGGACCCTTGGCTCCTTCCCTGCTCTCCTTTTGTTCTCTGCCATCAAAGGATGGACGCAAGAAAGGTACGCAAGAAAGATCTAACAAGTAGTTACAGCCTAAGGGTTGTGAAAAATAGCGTATTACCTCCTTCCACGCCCTCCTGCCTTCATGTGCTGCCTCACTTCGGCTCAACGCAGAGGGCTCATGGAGCGCGGATAGAAGCTTTTGAAAGCACATCCAGAGCGAAGCTTTCCTCTTTATAATGCATTCGCTCAGGTTTGTTCTATAACAGGAGATGACGAGCACAATATCCACTTGGCTGTACTTGTTTTATTTTCTTGAGACAAGGTCTTGCTGTGTACTTCAGACTGGCCTTGAACTCACTGTGTCCCAGGCTGACTTCATTTTTTTGTGTTTTTTTGTTGTTGTTTTTCTTTTTGGTATCAGGAATCAAACTCATGACCTCAGGCTTGCCTGGCAAGCACTTGTGCCACTGAGCTATATCCCCACCCCCTGACTTCGAACTCACTGCAATTCTCCTGCCTCAGCCTCTTGAGTGCTGCAATTACAGGTGTGTGCCACCACAGCCAGCTTGTAACTGCTTTATTTGTAATTGCTACAAAACCAGAAGCCCACCAATGTCCACCAAAAGTTGAATGTGTGAACAAAATGAAAGGTATTTATACAATGGAGTATTACTGAACAGTAAAAAGAAATGAACTGAAACAACCACATGGGAGAATCTTAAAATTTTATACTGAGTAAAAATATCCAGACAGGGGCTGGGGATTTAGCTCAGTGGCACAGCCCTTGCCTGGCAAGCGCAAAGTTGTGAGTTCAATTCTTGGTACCTGGAAAAAAAAAATCCAGACAAAAAGAGTACACAGTGCATGATTCCACTTATAAAAAATTGTAGAAAATTTAAACTAATCTGTAATGAAAGAAATCAGCTTAGTTGCTGGAAGGATGGACCGGGAGGCTGGAGTGAGGGAAGCAGGAACTGCAGAGGCGAGAGGACCCTTCGAGGGGTGAGGGCTGCCTTCTTCGTCTCACTCGCTGTGATCCACTCACAGGTGCATGTCAATGTCAATGCTTACCAAGTTCTAGCATTTATTTATTTATTATTTTTGGCTTTTTGAGACAAGGTCTTGCCATATGTAGTCCAAGCTGGCCTTGAACTCACAGCAATTCTCCTCCCTCCGCCTCCCAAGTGCTGGGATTACAGGCATGTGCCACCATATCCAGCCACACAGTTGGCATTTATTCTCTTTTAATTCATCTTGTGTTATAGCACATCGTGTGTGGTATCACTTGCCATTTGTCCATTCTTTATCTCGCCACGAATGCCAACTGTGTGACCAGGGTCAGTTTCCTTCTTTGCAGCTCCTCCCCCTAGGGCAGAGACAGTGTCCAGTACCTCATGAGCTGAGCTCTGTGGAGAGTGGGTGAGTGAACCATATTCAAGCAGCCTGTCCTTCCCTGAGCTAGCTCCAGAGAAGATGTTGCCATTTTTTGACAATGGGGTCCAGCACCAGTAACTTTTTTTTTTTTTTTAATTTTAAAGAGTAAAAGAAGGATAACATAGTAATGGGGGGGGCTTACCAAATTACAGACAAAGTGGTAGGAAATTATCAGTGGTTGTTGTTTTACATAGTTATCTACAAGATGGTTTCTCAGGAAAACAAATAGACAAATAATAGTGAGTTACAGACAAAAGAGGTGGGAGATTATCCATAGTTGTTGTGCTATACTTTGGTATCTTCAAAGAGGCTTCTAAGGAAAATAAATAGAGCTATACGTGAGTGACCAATTGAATAATCATTAACTATTCTCAATGGTTGTTGTAGGAAACACATAGTAATAAACACACATCCATTTACAAAATAGCATAGGAACAATAGAAACATTACAGAGTTATGGACAAATTAGTAGGAAAATATCAATGGCTGCTGTAATACATGGTGGGATCTTCAAAGTGGTTTCTCAGGAAGACAGAGGTTAAAAAGAAAGATCTAACAAGTAGTTACAGCCTAAGGGTTGTGAAAAATAGCGTATTACCTCCTCACCAGTGACTCCTTTCACTGAGGTGTGACGGCTGGAAGGAAGGCCAGGATTGAAAAGAAGGACCGAGAGACTTGCACCAGTGTCCAGCAACAGGCTGTTTTCTTTTTCCTCTATAGTCATGATTACCCGGGACTCCTCCATGGAGATGACAGTCTGGCCAGAGGGAGAAGGCAGAGTATGCCCTGGGCCCCCTCATTCCTGTTGCACTAACTGGTGAGACGGGTCTGAGCTCTGGGGCCTCTGCTTCAGAGGGCAGACTGATCTCCAGTGGTCTCATTTGCATTCAGGGCATGGCCCAGGGGGCCTCTTAGGGCAGTTCCTCTTGAGGTGGCCTGGCTTTTAACAGTAGTAACAGATGAATGCAGTTGTTGAGTTCTTCTTGGGGTCCTGAGAATCAGACTTAAGGTCTGTTTCTCTTAGTGCTGCAGCAAAAGCAGCTGCTTTTTCTCAGTCTCTTTGTTTTCTCTCCTTGGCCTCCTCCTCGTCACTGCTATAGAATACTGAGGAGTCAGTTCTTACTAACATCTCAAGTGAGCCATCTGGCGTGAAAGCCATTTTTTGTAGCTTTCTCTCTCCAGCCTCCCATCTCATGGGACCCCACAACCATTTAGTGTCCTCTCCCTAACTGTCAAGCACCAGTAACTTTTACCTGTCAGCAAGGTCTCCTAATTTCCCACCCAAATCCTTCCTCTGGAGACTGCTGTCTCTTCTCACAGCCTAGTCTTCTGCAGAATCTTTAAGTTCTTATGGGGGTGGGGGGCTGGGGATTTAGCTCAGCGGCAAAGCGCCTGCCTGGCAAGTGCAAGGTCGTGAGTTCGGTTCCCAGTACTGGAGAAAAACCAAAAAAAAAAAAAGTTCTTATCAGGCCCTTTCAACATAGGCTGTGCGTCTCAGCACTAGTAACACTGCTGTTCTTGTCTGTTCTTTGTCAAAGCTCTGTCCTGAGCTTCACTTGCGAAGTCCAATATTCACCCAAATATTCCCACTCGAAATAATGGTCATGTAAGGAAAACTCCACTTATAAGTGCCTCCCTTAAAGCCAGCAGCTTTTACATCACCTTATTGCTTTATTAATCTCCTTTCTGCACGTGGCACATGCACTTTCACAATGGCCTTCTTTGAAAATGCTTGGATTGTCTCAAAAGTTTGTAGGTTCAAATGAGAAGGTTTGAAAGATCTGAGGAAAGCTGGATGTGGAGGTGCACACCTGTAACCCCAGAACTTGGGAGGTGAAAGCAGGAGGGTCATGAGTTCAAAGCCAGCCTAGCTTACATAGGAAGAACTTCTCTCCAAAAACAAAACAAAAGGTAGCTTAAAAACTGTGGACCTCGGAAAAGCTTCTCAACAGTTTGGCCACTCCACCAAAAGTGGTTGCAGGGAGAAGATCTGAAATCCCAATGGCCCTGTTCAGTGCTGAACTCATAACAGTTAAAGCACACCCTGGGCGGAGGTTATTAGGAATGAACAGAGTCCTGGGGAAACATTTTCTCAAAGTGCAGAAGGGAAAAGTGCGTAGAAGTGAGGATTGTGCAGACTGCGCTTGCCCAGGCTCTGATAGGGTTCAGTCTGAGTTAATCCATGGCTGGAAAACATGATCTGGAGCACAGGGTTCATCCTAGTGGGTTCTACTGGAACACTGGGTTCAGCTCCTGGCTCTGCCCACTGTGCAAACCTGGGCATGTTTTAGGGCCTTAGCCTCAGTGGAGGCACTCACAAATGAGGGCAATAACAATCCCGCATCCCTCATAGAATTGTGAGAATTAAGTAATTTCATCCCTATGACACCCTCCCTACAGCAATAGGAATTGCTCAATACATTGTCGTTACTATGTGAACTTTATGTTCATTAAATTCATTCAAGACTTACACTTTGTCAAACATTTTTATGCATTAAAGAGCTTTACTTTATTTTTATTCACTTACTTATTTTACTATGGAAGGACATTGTCTTGGCTGAACTAAAGGAAGAAAGACTTCACACCTGCTTTGGAATAGCTGGGGGATCAGAGCACACTGAGGTACTGGGAGAGGTGGCAGCTGCCGCCAGGCTTATGTGACCCTCTGGACCACAACCTAGGATGGAGCAGGTCGTGAGAGACCTCAGTACAGCAGGTGTGCATGAGTCCCTGCGTGAATGCTGTCAAGTGTGTACAAAAGTATCAGTACCTGGTCAGAGACACACAAGAGTCCAGTTGAGCAAAAAGAAGCTGTCATGTCCTGAAATGTGTTCACCAAATTTTCCCAGAGTTTAATGGTAAGTAAAAGGGACAGAGAAAGTAAAACATTTTCTCCTAGTGAGTAAGAGCAAGATAAAATCCAGATGAAAATTTTTATAGCTCACAGTACAGTACTTGCCTAACATATGAAATGAGTCTCAACTTATTCTGCAAGAATTAACACTCATACTTGTAAATCTCAAAGTGATAAGGAAACAAGATCACAGGAAGTGTTAGGGGATTTTCAAAGACAAAAAGTAGTCAAGCTAGTCATGTAGAGATGGTTAAACATGGGGGCAGAAACAAAAGCAACCTAAGGCTCATAAGATTTTTCAGGAAAAGCAAACAGATGTGAGTTAGTTTTGGGGGAGTCAATAAAGAAACATAAATTAGACATACCACTTAAAATTTAAGAAACCGGACATGGTGGCACAGGCCTATAATCCCAGCACTGGGAAGGCTGAGGCAGGAAGAAAACCATGAATTTGAAGCCAGCTTGGGCTACATAGTGAGCTTAATACCAGTCTGAACTTCATAGTGAGATCCTGTCTCAAAAAAGAAAATTTAAGAATAACCACTAATGAAAAGAATTAAGATCTATAATGCCTACACAACTAGACACAAAACGTGGAGTCAACATACAATAGAAGTGGTGCTGACAGAGGCGATGAATAAAGAATGAGGGAGGGCAAGTGGAAGATATGAAGTCAGCTAGGTGGAGACATCACAAAAAACACGAATGAGTTAAATTCCCATTAAACTGCAGGCTCTGAGGTGGGCTAATAATAGAAACTCTAACTGACAGCCAAAGACTATTTACAAGATTCACCCCTAAAGCAAATTAAAAAAAAAAAAAAAAAAAGGAAACCCAAGAAATTCTGGGAAAACCTACTCTTTTCTGTACACTTTCACATAACACTTCTGTAACCAGCTAGAGGGAGTTTTTCACACCCCACAGAGGTATCCTACAATTTAATTCAATGCTGACACATCTATCTGGAGT